AACTACTTCTACTAGCAGTAGCACTAGCAGTTCACATATGGAGATCCTACCACTCTACTAGGCAGTAGCGTCCACCAGTCCTGCAGTATTACTAATTCTGTAAGGTCCACTATGTAGACTAAACCAGTTTACTAGAGTCCATATGAAAGCATAAACAACAACAAAGACCATATGCCACCAAGATCAAAAAAGTACCATCAAGCGTGGATCTGATTTTTGGATAAATACAGATAAAAATGGGACTTATTTTTGTGTAGATGACTAGTAAGGTTTGGTGTGATAACTTTGCATGCATATTATGCAATATGCATGAACCTTAGTTCTCTAGTGTTTTTTTGTATTGGATTTTTATCTTCATTCAGACTCTTAAGAAACGAAAATTATGTTATATAATTAGTAGCTGTACCATTTATTGGTTACTCTAGTTGCTAATATGAGCGGGATATAAATACTTTGTATATTATTATTATTTTATGCTTTGTTGTATGATTGTTATCAGAAACATATTTCAACTTGAAAGGACTATATTATTTTTTTTAATTGTTAAGACCGGAGATTGCTGCATCCATTGAAGGCACTACACAAATTGTCAATGAAGGAAAATGCGAGCGACCGATTATTCTTGGAATCAGTTTGATTTTGGAGATGATAATTCAAATTTACTATTATATTAAAACAATAGCTGTTGCAATTAATATGTTGATATTAAAATTTTAAATTAGGCTGATTGCTTTAAACAGTGCTTATATTTATTCTTCGTCGGGTTCTTGCACCCCTGGACGTAAGGGAAGGAGAACCCATGAGGTGGTGGTGATATCCTATATTCTGTTCCTCTTCATCTGATTGATGGTGATTCCGTAATTCACCAGTAAGGTGCCCGGTCTTTACAATCAGTCTCCTGTCTTCACTGTCCCAGGACCACATGAGTTGTAGTGGTTGATGATGTCCAGGGTGGCTTTCACTCCTCATTTTCTCGTCACGCAGAGTCTTAGTGGAGACATCAAAAGTCGTGTCCACAAGTTCAGGGTGTTCGTCTCCTTTCTCAATCTTCTTCAGGTTGATCTTTAAATTTGCGAAGGTTTATCGGCGGAACTACGACTTAAAAACTGTAGTCATGCCATTTACGGACCTCTTGCTTTCTTTCAGTAAATGGCTAGTCGTCATCGTTATGGTGAGGACAATTCCATCACAAGCGGTGGCAAGTGCCACCAGAGTTAACACTATTAGGACACCTATTGCGAATGCTGAGCTTAAGGCTGGAGGAAGATGTGTAATTTCTGTAGAACCTCTTCAGACAATTCACCGTCGAATGAGTGGAGTACGTTGCAGCGCTCTTTTTATCTTTTTTCGTGCCTTTGGTAAGCCATTTTAATCAAGTTACCAACTGGAAATTGCAATTTAATCAAAGTCTGTCAAGATGTTAACTTAATTTCTATACACGCTGAGTACCATCATTGTAGGCCGTGACTCAACTACAAGAAATATTTAGCCTCCATATGTCCGATCTTTTGTTCATTTATGTTGGTAGTGAACAGTTCTCAGCTTTTTATCTTTCACAAAGCAATGGAAATTGAGAAATAAGATTTGCAAACGTGAAAAATCACACATTTAACTTTTCTAAATGAAACTTCAGTCAGATAGTTTATGGCGAATATTAGTCTATCCCGGCCTTCGGCCGGATATAATTGCCGCAGTTAAAAAGGGTGGAGTTTTTACCACTGAGTCAAAACCCGCATTACGGCATTAGGTGAGGAGTTTATTCGGAGTGCCCTCACGTATTCCTATAGTATTTAATACAATAGTTTCTTAAAAATAATCAATAGAATTAACCCATATTTACTCGCTCACACCCAACATATTTGAAAACTGCATTACTTTGTCGTATATGAAAGTATGACCTCTTCTACAGTCCAAACAGACCGTATGAGCGCTCATCCTAATAAGTTTAACGTATTCATGACAGTGTATTATGATATATGTACAACGCTAGACTCTGCATGTAGATCAAGATAAGTTGTTCAATAAAATTCAAGCATAAAATTTAATTTAAGATCATTGGATTTAAAACGACAAAATTGATTGCTGAAATCAGCAGTAGTATCTAAAAAAATCTAAAAAATGCTACATGTTCCTCGATGAAAAATGGTTTTTAGAAAATTTAACTAGTTCAAAATCAAGATTAAATCAAATTTGAGATCAGATAAGAGTGTGATTAACGTGTTAAAATATTTACACATCTCTTTTCGAGAAAGTGAGATATCAAACTATAATATTCCAGAGCTAGAGGAATCCCTAAGCTATCCTCTAAATGTTTTTAACGACTGATTATTGTTTACAGCTCGGAATGTCTATCAAGTAAAAAGTGTAAATCTTCAATATCTGAAATGTCTTGAAACCATCCTCAAACATCCCTCCATCTTCACAGCAGATTTCACACCAGAATATCTCCAAACACAGTTTCTTCACCGGACAAGTCCGTGTAAGACCTGTAGTAGACACTTCTCCTTTCCATTTTTAACCAGAGTCCACCAGGTGAGATTGCTAGTCAGTGGGCAGTCTCCACAACTCCGTAGGGAATATCAGCCGCGGCCAGTTGATGGAAACTTGGACTATAGCATCGTTTGTAGTGCAGGTTTTGGGAGCCAGGGCGAGAAGAGTAGCAGCCTTAACAAAGCGCGAGGTTGAAGTGTAATCCCCCAGGTTGCCAACATTCCAGTATCCGGACCATTGTGGGCATACGCGTAGTTTCTCCCTGGGAAGAGTATTTAACCCTTCTCTTCCTTTTTTTTCCTTGGAAATGAGGATAGTTTGAGATTGTCATGTGACAGGAGAAGGTTGGAGATTTGTTTGTTATTTTCAGAACCCCGACTGTATTGTCTTACCACTTACTCTTCTACTTTAACATGTTCAGCTCTAATCTGCCCAGTTTTGTCGTTATGTTGAGTGTATTGGCAAAACTGCCCCAAACTGTCTCCGAGCCCTCACAGCTGATAACTTGTCCTCTCCAGATCATCTTGATTTGTTTTACCGTTCGTAGGTAGCAGGATGTATGCAGGGGATCATGTGGCTGTGAATGGCATTATCACTTGCGGCACCGCAGATATAGAAGGATCTATGTACTCAGCTTTATCTTTGAATGGAGGACATTGGCAGAGAGTCTGCTTACATTTATCCCGTCGGCATTAGTATTGCACCAGTTCATTAATTGCCAGGATAACGATCTCTTTGATAGCGGTTTGTAAAAGAAAAAGGAGCACAAGGACAGTTGGAAGTGGGTGGGTTCATGTTTAGTACCAGCAGGCTCCGTTCAATGGGAACGTACTGGGGAATAGGAAACCCAACTGCGTCCGAGTACTACGCCCCCAATCCCTCCGCTTTGACTCGGATCTTTGACATGACTCTGTTAGGGTCAGCATGTGGCGAGTGATAGCAAATCCAAACATACTGTAAAAAAAATATTAGAATAAGTATTTGGGTTCAATTTCTGCAAACTTCAAACAAAATGAATTAATGCACTCGAATAACCTGCCAGTAAGGTCAGAAGGGGTAATGATTCTACATTTGGAAACAGGAAAAGAACAGTAGTGATTAACTTATTATCAAGATTTAAACATTATATTTTATAAATTTCATCGGTTGTCTCTTTGGGAAAAAATAAAGTTTTTTTTTTTCTTTTTTAATATGCAGATTGCAGATTTATGATCATAGTTTGCATAAAAATGTACACACTTTATTTGTGAAGAAAATTTACGGGTACCTGTTTCCATGGGCAAAGAATTTGCACACAGTAATCGTTACGGTATTGGTGGTGTCGGCAGGATCAGGATGCAGCACTCGAGTTTTAATTCATCAAATTATTTTTTACTGTGTGATTTATTTATTGAAAAATTAGTGAAAAATAATTTGATTACACAGTAAAAATTAATTTGATTGATTAAAACTCGAGTGGCTGCAGTCCTGATCCTGCCCGACACACCAATTCGCGTATCGATTACTGTTGTGCAATTTATTTGCCATGGAACAGGTTACCGTATATTTTATTTCAACAATAAAAATGATGTTACATTTTTTATCAAACTAGATCATAAATGCTGCAATCTGCATATTAAAAGGAAATATAAAACTTTAATTTTTTTCCCAAAGAGACGAGGCGATGAAATTATAAAAATTAATGTTTAAATCTTGATAATATGTTAATCACTATGATTTTCTTTCTGTTTCCAAATGTAGAATCATTACCCCTTCTGTTACCTTACTGCAGGTTATCGGTGTGCTTTAATTCATTTTTGTTTGTAGTTGCAAGAATTGAACCTAATACTTTATTCTAATTTTTTTTTTACTGTATGTTGGGATTTGCTATCCTCGCCACATTGCTGACCCTAACTGAGGTCTTGTCAAGAGATCCGAGTCAAAGCGGTGGAATGGGGGCGTAGTACTCGGACGCGGTTTGGAGTTTCCTATTCCCTGGACTTCCAATGTACGGGCCTGGGTTCTAATCATGAAGCCCACCCCTTTTCCCAACTGTCTGGTGCTCTTTTTCTTTTACTAACGCTTCAAAGAGATCGTATCTGGGAGATTATGGAACTGGTGCAATACTACATGCGACGGGATAAATGAAGCAGGACTCTCTTGCCAATGTGCCTCCTTTTCAAAGTTAATGCTGAGTACATAGATCCTTCTGATTTCTCTGGTGCCGCATGTGGATATAATGCCATTCCACAGACATGATCCCTGCATACATCCTGGCTACTACGAAACGGTAAAACAATCAAGGATGAATTGGGGTGGACAAGTTTCCAGCTGTGTGGGCTGGAGCGAGGTTTGGGGCAGTTGTTGCATACACTTCAACATACGACAAAAACTGGGCAGGATTAGTGCTGGAACATGTTAAAGGAGAAAGGAGTGAAGTGGATGACAATACAGTCAGTGTGGTTCTGACAAACTCTCCAACCTTCTCCTGGCACATGAGCAATCTCAGGTAACTATTCCTCTATTTCCAGAGGAATGACAAAGGAAGAGAGGTTAAAATACTCTTCCAGGAGGAAAGACTATTGATGGACCACATGGTCCGGATTGGATTGTTGGGGTACCTGGGAGTACACTTCACCTTCGCGCTTTGTTAGGCTGTACTCTTCTCGCCCTGGCTCAAAACTGCCACTAATAACGAGGCTATAGTCAAGTTTTCCTTCATATGGCGCGGCTGATATTCCTACGGAGTTGGAGATGCCCACGGACTAGCATCTTCAACCTGGGGATCTGGTAAAAGATTGGAACGGAGCATGTGTTATACAGGTTTACACGGACTTGTGAGTGAAGAAACTGTGTTTGGATGATATTTCTGTGTGTGGAAATCTGTCTGTGAGTTGGAGGGAGTGGTTTGAGATGGGTTCAGACTTTTCAGAGAGTTGAAGGATTTTGACACTGTTTTACTTGATAGGACATCCGAAGATGTAAAAATAATCAGTCGTTTTAAAACATTTGGGATGTTAGGGATTCTCAGCTCTGGAATATTTAGTTTGATATCTCACTTTTCTCGAAAAGGATGTTAATATTTTTACACTTTATCACACTCTTATCCTTGTTCTCAAATTTGATTAATATTGATTTTGAAAACTAGTTAATTTTCTAAAACATTTTCTTCGAGAGGAAGCATGTGAGCATTTTTTAATTTTTTAGGTACTGATCTGATTCAGCGGAATCAATTTGTCGTTTTAAATCATTGATTTTTAAAATTAAATTTATGCTTGTAATTTTATTGAAAACTTTATCTGATTTACTAGCAGAGTCTAGCGTTAGGTACATATATCTATCTTTAACTCTGTCATGAATTATTTAAACTTATTAGGGGAGGAGCGCTCATAGCGGTCTGTGTGGACTGTAGAGAGAGGTAATTCTTTCATACGACAATGTAATGCATGTTTTCAATTTTTGTGGGTTGTGTGTGCGGAGTAAATAAGGGTTTATTTCTATTGATTATTGTTTTAAGATACTATGTTTTAGATATATTGGGATAAGTGAGGGCACTCCGAATAGACTGCTCACTAAGGCGTAATGCGGGGTTTTGACTCAGTGGGTAAATACTCCTACCATTTTTAACTGCGCAATTATATCCCGGCCAAGGCGGTTAGATAATATTCGCATAAAACTATTCTGACTGAAGTTTCATTTAGAAAGTCTAAATGTGTGATTTTTCACGTTGCAAATTTATTTCTATTTCATTGTTTGTGATATTAAAAAAGTGAGTTTTGTTCACTACCATCATAAATTGAACAAAGATCGTGAACATATGGAGGCTATATATTTTTTGTAGTTGGGTCACGGGCCTACAAATTGATGGGGTACAGCGGTGTTATGTAAATTAGATAACCATCTTGACTGACTGGATTAAATTGGCAATTATGTTGGTTAATTGATTAAATGCTTACCAAGGAACGAAAAAAGATAAAAGAGCGCTGCAACGTACTCAACTCATTCGCGGTGAATTGTTCTGAAGAGAGTCTTACGCCCAAACACGACAGTTTCACTATCAACATTGGAACCACTGTTTTGCAGAGTTCCAGCAGCATGTGGATCTCACCAAAGTGCTCGATCAGGAACTCCTCGGTAGTTTTGGCGAGGTAGAGAAGAGATGGGTGTATATGGTGAGAATCCAAGTTGAAGTTGAGGAGGTATAATTCTGAGGAGATTACCAGAAATAGTGTCAGAGCCAGTGACCAGAGCAGTGCAGCTTTGTGAGTCACTCTGATGGTTAGCAGGATGGCAATGTAAGCGATGAGGCAGGCCGAGAGCTTGTAGAGTAGTGAGAAGAGGTGGGTTTGTGTTATTAGGAGGGGCTGGAGGGAGGTGGTGTTGAGGGTCAGGGTCAGAGTCGTCACGTGACATGTGTCCAGGTGAGCTAGCGTGTAGACAAAACAGATTCCTGTCAGACCTAGTGAAAGTGGGGTAACGTTCAATAAAACTAAATAATAAATGATGGCAAGGACATTTCAGCGATACTTATTAGGCCTTTAATTCGTGGGATATTATTTTGTATCAAGAGCTGACAGATAAACAGCTCTTATTCAACAAAAATACCTTTTAATAATCTGTTTTCACGCTTTTGAGTGGGTCGATCATCACAAAGCAAGAGTCTCCACTCTCCACTCAGTTTTTCAAACAGACAGTTATCAAAAGTATTAAATTAAAATACCTGTTAATTAAATACCTAAAATACATTAAAATTAACGATACGTCAATCGTACAGTAAAAAGCGTCCAATATTAGAACGAACCTGTAAAAATATCAGCAACCGTTAGAAGAAGATGAAGAATGGAAGAGATCTTGGTGATACCTGACCTAGTCCATATTATCAAGGTGACTACACTGCCTGCTATCGAGATAAAGCAACATATGGACGTCACTATTATCAGAGCTAGAACTCCTGGTTCGTTTGTCGTCTGCTGGCAATCTGGGAGGTTTGTTATTATTCATTTGTCGTCTGCTGGCAATCTGGGAGGTTTGTTATTATTAATTTCCTTTTGAGATCGCGCATAAGATCTCTTATGAGATATGGAAGTTACATGAACGCTGAACAGGTACAACGTATGACTATGAGTGCAGCGAAAACAGCCACAGGTACAACGTATGAGTGCGGCGAAAGTTCGCGTATAGTGCGATCTTGCAAATGCCTAAAATGTGTTTATACTTATAGGCAGCAAGAGTGCGTACAATGTTCCACAATTATTATAGTTTTCTGACAATTCCAAAATTACACACATAGAAGTTATGCCAATTTTATTGGGTTAGACTTAGACTGCTCCCGTGCCTAGACTCCGGCTAGGGTACCTACTAAAAATGCTTCCCCGGGGACTTATGGGCAAAAAAAACTACAGGCTAGTTAAACACGAATTCGATTGTTTAGGGCTCGGGTTAGGGTTAGGGTTGTGGTTAGGGTTATGGATAGCTTTGGGGTTATGGTTAGGGTTTACCTGGGGACCCCAGGCTATAATGTTTATAAACATAAATAGAGATTTGGTGGAATGACAGGCTGAGCGCCGCCCAGTAAAGGTATGGTTAGGGTTGCGATTAGAGTTTATGTAAAACCGTTTTGTTCGACTGCAAAAGCATAACAACTAAAATCACGCAATACTTTTATGAGGTTTAAATCACTTAACATCTTTAATTTTATTGGATAGTGGCAAAATTTTGCAGCTCGGTGGCTTTTAGTGGACGACCTAGAGGTGGCGGCATGTTGTCAGCATTGTGGCATCCTTTGTATAAGTTTTCCACTATCACTATGTTCGTAGAAATATTTTCTTTACCCTCATGAGTTTTTGTCCATATTGTGTTCGCAAAGGTATGTTATAAAGTTATGATATAAATCAATCGTCTAAACAATTGGTCAATGTTCTCATTGTTCCAAATCTCACTTAACAGATTAACTGCTAACTAACCTTATGCCCATCACATACGTAATATTTTATTTCCTCATCTTTGCCTTTGTTCATAAGAGGGCCTCCGGCCTCAGGCCTCTATGTATCGTTTTCTGAATGCTTGCAGTTTTCCAAACATTAATTGGGGTGTCTGTCTAGTGGTTAACTTTATGTCTAGTGGTAAACTTATGTCTAGTGGTCTAAGTTTTTATGTCTAAGTTTTAGGGAAGTTGGGAAGTTTTTGGCTAACAATGTTACGTCAGCAGACGAGTGGGTTAAGAAATGCTTGTGAAAGTGGATTCCTGGAAACCAATTTTTCCACGGTTCATTATGAGCCTAGCATATTTTGGCCGTACCTAGTAGTAGTAGTTAGTACCTACCTCTCGATATACGATTTTGGAAGTTTTTCCTGAAACTACTTTTGTTCATATTTCATGCTACTCTGATCATTATAGCCGAAAATATTCGCCCCTCCCCCCTCCTTAATCAACCGTAATCATTTGGGAAGGTAATCGTACTGTAGTGCGACACGTACTCTAGTGCTAAGTCCGACAAAAACACCCTCTGTCGCACTACAGTACGTGTCGCACTACAATCCAGGTAGCGTACTCTAGTGCGACAAAATATCCTGACTTATTTCCAAGTTCAGGTCACATCCTATCCTTCTTATGGACCCAACCACCTGAACAACTCTATCTCTCTGCATCAGTAGCAGCGAAATACGGATATAACTTCTCCCTTACAGTCAGCGATCTGACAACAACCTGACTGTGTATTTTAGGCATTACCACGCCACCTTCACTATTGCATCCGCTCACCCGTATTCACTGACACATGCCACACCTGGGTTTAGTATGAAGATGCACGCATATTCACCCAAGATGCGGAGATGTCTCAGTTTAGCGAGTTGAGATACAGCAGCAAACTCACAGGAGCCTGGATCAGAATTCAGAATCATCAGTTACAAACCGGACACCGTTTCGGGGCTTATTATAATCGCAATACGGTTTCCTGTCAGGTTTATGGTACTTCCTTGAGTCCACCCTTGGACCACCATCTGATCCGAGAGTCACCTGAGGAGACCCATTAGAGTTCGCAATTGGCGACGAGATAACGTTTATGGTACTTCTAGAGTCTAAATGTTAAGTGAACTTTCAAGCTCCAACCTTCCTGAACTCCCACTCCTTCTTCCTTGATAACAAGTAGATCCATCTGGAACAGTGGGCTGCCTCTTTCCCACTATCCCGTACTAGCTTCTTTAGCGCTCTTCCTTTAAAACCAATTCTCCTCGCAGCTCTCTCCAAACTCTGAGCAACCACTCCCCTTGCTCCAACTTCAACCGCAGCATTATAACAGCACCATCCTTTTGCTTGAATCTCAGTCTGAGGACTGCTGTATCGGTCGAGTTTGTACTCATGTGAACCGTCTTTGTCGACCTTGAGAATATCACAAGGTCCGGTCTCAGCCGTGCTTCTACAATCTTACTGGGAAACTTAAGCTGTCCCTCAATATCTGACAGCACTATCCAATCTCGAGACCCACTCAGGATCCCAAAACCACAACTCTTCTTCCGGTCATCTGTACCTGATTTTTTCCTTTTTTTCCTCCCAGGAACAAATTCAATGAACTGTCTTCCATCGCTGGCCTTGTTCTTATAAGTGTTCACTCGGCGCTCACAATGGACGATAACCTGTTCAGAGATCTGCTTCAGAACCCATGCCGTCATCTATATCTTCCTTGACTAAGAGCTACTTTACACCCAGCCAAAATGTGCTGAATGGTACCCATCCTCTCCTCACATAACTTGCACTTCCCATCCTCATCTTCACTCCACTTGGAGACCATAGAGGGGGTTAAGAGAGTGCCGTACACAGCACTAGAGAGGTCTACATATCCATTCGAGACAACAAATCCTCTTCGCCAGGATCGCCAAATAGATCTTCCCTTGAATGTTACCCAGGGAAATAGGGCGTCCTGAACTGGGCGAGAAGTCGCCATCGGCCTTTGGGATGTATACACCCTCGAAATACCTACGGTTGTCTGGATATTCTTCTAACTTGTATCCAGTTCTTAACAGGTCCCAGAGATTCTTGTTACCCGGGGCACTCTTGCTCCTCGCCTTCTTTACAAACTTAACCTCTCAAGAACTTAGCAGACTTATTTTCTAGTTACCAGACAGTAGGCTGACTCATGAGTAGCATGTTCTTATTGTTATTTTACTCAATTCTAAGATCATTAGCTTACACTACCCTATGGAAACAATAAGTTACACTAACACCATCTTGTCTTCGTAGAAATATTTCCTTTACCCTCATGAGCTGTTGTGTCCCTATTATTGAGTTCGCTAAGGTTTGTTATAAAGTTATAATATAGATTAACTGATTTAACAATTGATCAATGTTCTCATGGTTCCAAATTTCATGATTCGATGTCACTTAACAAATTAACCCCCAACTAACCTTGAGCTGATGCTTAGCACATATTATTTTATTTCCTCATCTTTACAAGAGGTCAAATTTATATTATGTCTAGTGGTCAACTTTATGTCTAGTGGTCAAGTTTTAGGGATGTTTTTGGCTAACAATGTTACGTCAGCAGACGAGTGGGTAAAGAAATGCCAGTGAAAGTGGATTCCTGAAAACCAATTGTTTTCCATGATTCATGCTACCCTGACATTATGAGCCTAACACATTTTTGTCGGTTTACGTTACTGAAGTCCGTACCTAGTAATAGTATCATATTATATTTATATTGATTAACTATTCAATTTTATCGGCTCATGTCACATGATGATGTGATCTCAAATCATAACATCCGACATAGGCTAATGGGGGTCCATAACAACAAGATATGACATAATCTCAAATTTTGCCAACAATCAACAATTCTATTTCTATATCTACACTTCCCATTATTTGTGTAGAACGTCGCTTTCTCAAATTCAGCCACTCTAACGGAAGCAGTCACATTGCCCTGTTTTGAAATGGCCGACCGTTTACTATACGATCATAGTACGGATAAAGCTGATGACACGAAAACGTTAGACAATAAGTAAAAAGTGCGATTTTGCACCCACCGCGGCCGCATTTACGTATACGTTTCCTCTGAGCACGAACCAATTAATACAATATTTAAGGCTTGAACTGGGCCAGCTGTCACAAAACAATAATACCTTCGCTTCTTCGGGCTCCGCGTGATAATTCCTGACAGCTTGCTGGAGGGAATTTGCGGCCCGAAGAAGCGAACGTATTATTTGTTATAACTATTGACGGTTCCGCTTGGAACCGTCATGTGATACGTGCGCATGATACAATATAGTGTGTAAATATAGTGTGCCACTGTTATTTGTTTTAAAAACTTCCCGCCAGCCAGTCTGAGGTGACTCGCAATATGTGCTCATAATACCTTCGGTTCCTTGCGGGAAAAATCTGCAAATTATCAGCTCTCAGTGTCCACGAGTTTTAGTGCATATAATTCCCGGAAATAGTTATAAATGTATGGCGGCCCTTGAAGCATGACCAATTCAATATTACCTTCCAAGCTGAGGGCGTCTGTCTCTAAAGTAAGGATTGATCCAAGAGCAAACAAATGTATAAACATTAGTACAAACACATGGTATATTGAAACATCGACAGTACTGCTTACTGCTGGGCTAGCATTGTCTACAGCAGAGAATTATCTAGAACGTTGCCAGCAGATACGATATGCGCTTTGCTTGCATATAATGGACAATTACAGCTTTTCAAAAGCCCTCTCCCCCTATGCCCTAGGCTGACTCAGTCTCCAGTTATATTTGAACGATCCCTCATACGAGCCATGTATTATTTCTGTGGAACCAGTTGCACGATTTAATCGTGTTCGAACGGCAAATAGAAATGACTTTAAAAATAATTCTTCCTATGAGCACTCAGGAGTTGGTGTTCCCCTCAGTGCCTCGACATATTTAATGGATCTGTTGCACCATGTAACGTGATAAAGATCATTAACTGCTCTCCTCGTTAAATTGAAGTCTCGACAATCTTTACAGACTGCTCTGAATTGTAATACTAATAGCATTGTTGTAGCTAATTTTATTTAATAGCTGAGCATGAGACAACCATGCCCCTGACAAACCTTGCCATCTGCAGTTGTACTATAAAAAGGCGATTGATCAATAACAAACATATCTATCAGGTGATAAAAATGTCGATTGTTTTAGTCCTGATTGTGGTCTGCCTTGCAGCGCAAGTAACCGAAACAAAACCAGTTGCCCTAACAGATACAACTACTTCTACTAGCAGTAGCACTAGCAGTCCACCTATGGAGACTCCTACCACTTCTACTAGCAGTAGCAGTCCACCAGCTCCTGCAGTATTACTATTCAGTAAAGGTCCACCTATGTAGACTACAACCAGTTCTACTAGCAGTCCAACTATGAAAGCATAAGCACCCAAAATGCACCCAAAAGCATCCAAAAAAGTACCCATCAAGCGAGGATCTGACTTTTTTGGATAAATACAGATAAAAATGACTATTTTTGTAGATGACTAGTAAGTTTGGTGTGATAACTTTGCATGCATATTATGCAATATGCATGAACCTTTAGTCACTAGTGTTTTATAGTATTGGATTTTATCTTCATTACAGACTCAAAAGAACGAAATTATGTTATATAATTAGTAGCTAGTACCATTCTTGGTTACTAGTTGCTAATATGAGCGGGATATAAATACTTTGTTATATTATTATTATTATATGCTTTGTCTGTATGATCATGTTATAAGAAACATATTTCAACTTGAAGGACTATTATTATTTTTTTTAATTGTTAAGACCGGAGATTGCTGCAATCCATTGAAGAGCACTACCACAAATTGTCAATGAATGGAAAAAGCGAGCGACCGATTTCATTCTTGGTATCATTTTGCATTTGAGAATGATAATTCAAATTTATATTATAATTAAAACAATAGCTGTTGCAATTAATATGTTGATATTAAAAATTTTAAATTAGACTGAATGCTTTAAACAGTGCTTATATTTACTCTTCGTCGGGTCTCTTGCACCCCTGGACGTCAAGGAAGAAGAACCCATGATGGTGGTGGTGATCATCTCCATCCTTCTGTTCCTCGTCATCATGATGATGGTGATCTCCGTATCTCACCAGGTAAGGTGCCCGGTCCTTACAACTCAGTCTCCCTGTCTTCACTGTTCCCAGGACCACATGAGTGTAGTGGTGATGATGGTCCAGGGTTGCTTTCCACTCCTCAATTTCCTCGTCACGCAGAGTCCTTAGTGAGACATCAAAGTCAGTGTCCACAAGTTCAGGGTGTTCGTCTCCTTTCACAATCTTCTTCAGGTTGATCTTACATTTGCAGAAAGGTTTATCGGCGGCAACTACGAACTTAAAACTGTAGTCCTGCCATTTACGGACCTCTTGCTTTTCTTTCACGTAAATGGCTAGCTCGTCATCGTCATGGTGAGGACAATCTCCATCACAAGCGGTGGCAAGTGCCACCAGAGTTAACACTAATAGACACCTCATTGCGAATGCTGAGCTTTAAGGGCTGAGAAGGAAAGATGTGTAATTACTGTAAGACACTCTTCAGAACAATTCACCGTCGAATGAGTTGAGTACGTTGCAGCGCTCTTTTTATCTTTTTTCGTTCCTTTGGTAAGCCATTTTAATCAAGTTAACCAACTTGAAATTGCAATTTAATCAAGTCTGTCAAGATGGTTAACTTAATTTTCTAACACGCCTGGTACCCCATCATTTGTAGGCCCGTGACCCAACTACAAAGAAATATTTAGCCTCCATATGTTCACGATCTTTTGTTCAATTTATGATGGTAGTGAACAGTATCTCAGCTTTTTATTTTCACAAAGCAATGGAAATTGAGAAATAAGATTTGCAAACGTGAAAAATCACACATTTAACTTTTCTAAATGAAACTTCAGTCAGAATAGTTTTATGCGAATATTAGTCTAACCCGGCCTTCGGCCGGGATATAATTGCCGCAGTTAAAAAGGGTAGGAGTATTTACCCACTGAGTCAAAACCCGCATTACGGCATTAGGTGAGCAGTTCTATTCGGAGTGCCCTCACGTATCCAATAGTATCTTAAACAATAGTATCTTAAACAATAATCAATAGAAATTAACCCTTATTTACTCCGCACCACACCCACATATTTGAAAACATGCATTACATTGTCGTATGAAAGTATGACCTCTCTCTACAGTCCAAACAGACCGCTATGAGCGCTCCTCCCCTAATAAGTTTAAAGTATTCATGACAGTGTAATTATGATATATGTACCAACGCTAGACTCTGCAAGTAAGATCAAGATAAAGTTGTTCAATAAAATTCAAGCATAAATTTAATTTAAAATCATTGGATTTAAAACGACAAATTGATTCCGCTGAAATCAGCAGTCAGTACTCTAAAAAATTAAAAAATGCTCACATGCTTCCTCGATGAAAAATGGTTTTAGAAAATTAACTAGTTCAAAATCAAGATTAAATCAAATTTGAGATCAAGATAAGAGTGTGATAAAGTGTTAAAATATTTAACATCCTTTTCGAGAAAGTGAGATATCAAACTATAATATTCCAGAGCTAGAGAATCCCTAAGCTATCCCAAATGTTTTAAACGACTGATTATTGTTTACAGCTCGGAATGTCTATCAAGTAAAACAGTGTCAAAATCCTTCAACTCTCCTGAAATGTCCTTGAACCCATCCTCAAACCTCCCCTCCATCTTCACAGCAGATTTCACACCAGAAATATCATCCAAACACAGTTTCTTCACCGACAAGTCCGTGTAAGACCTGTAGTAGACACATCTCCGTTCCAAATCTTTAACCAGAGTCCACCAGGTGAAGATTGCTAGGTCCAGTGGGCCAGTCTCCACAACTCCGTAGGGAATATCAGCCGCGGCCATATGATGGAAAACTTGGACTATAGCCTCGTTAGTAGTGGCAGGTTTTGGAGCCAGGGCGAGAAGAGTAGCAGCCTTAACAAAGCGCGAAGGTGAAGTGTAATCCCCAGGTAGCCCCAACATTCCAGATCCGGACCATTGTGGGCCATACGAGTAGTCTTCTCCCTGGGAAGAGTATTTTAACCCTTCTCTTCCTTTGTCATTCCTCTGGAAATGAGGATAGTTCCTGAGATTGCTCATGTGCCAGGAGAAGGTTGGAGAGTTTGTCAGAACCCCGACTGTATTGTCATACCACTTCACTCCTTCTCCTTTAACATGTTCCAGCACTAATCCTGCCCCAGTTTTGTCGTTTATGTTGAAGTGTATTGGCAACACTGCCCCAAACTCGTCTCCAGCCCACACAGCTGGAAACTTGTCACTCTCCAGATCATCCTTGATTTGTTTTACCGTTTCGTAGGTAGCCAGGATGTATGCAGGGATCATGGTCTGTGGAATGGCATTATCACATGCGGCACCAGAGATATCAGAAGGATCTATGTACTCAGCATTATCTTTGAAAAGGAGGACATTGGCAGAGAGTCCTGCTTCATTTATCCCGTCGCATGTAGTATTGCACCAGTTGCCATTAAATCTGCCCAGGATAACGATCTCTTTGAAGCGGTTAGTAAAAGAAAAAGGAGCACCAGGACAGTTGGGAAGTGGGTGGGCTTCATGTTTAGTACCAGCAGGCTCCGTTAACATGTGGAAGTCCAGGGGAATAGGAAACTCCAAACTGCGTCCGAGTACTACGCCCCCATCCTCCGCTTTGACTCGGATCTCTTGACATGACTCAGTTAGGGTCAGCAATGTGGCGAGGATAGCAAATCCCAACATACTGTAAAAAAAATATTAGAATAAAGTATTAGGGTTCAATTCTTGCAACTACAAACAAAAATGAATTAAAGCACTCCGATAACCTGCAGTAAGGTACAGAAGGGGTAATGATTCTACATTTGGAAACAGGAAAGAAATCAGTAGTGATTAACTTATTATCAAGATTTAAACATTATATTTTATAATTTCATCGGCCTTCGTCTCTTTGGGAAAAAAATAAAGTTTTTATATTTCCTTTTTTAATATGCAGATTGCAGCATTTATGATCTTAGTTTGCATAAAAAATGTACACACATTTTATTTGCGAAATAAAATTATACGGGTAACCTGTTCCATGGGCAAATAATTTGCACACAGTAATCGATACGCGTATTGGTGGTGTCGGGCAGGATCAGGACTGCAGCCACTCGAGTTTTAATCAATCAAATTATTTTTTACTGTGTAATCAAATTATTTTTCACTATGTTTTTAATAAATAAATCATGATATTCAAGTTTTAATTTTATAGTTTTTGGTTGGACAACAAAATGCAATTATAATATCGATTACAACCGCAGCGAGTATATTATTTGAGTGAGAAAAATTTAATAATACCTTATCGGGCCTTATTTGGACGGACATTAATTGAACCCTGGAGGCCCTAACGTTCATCTTAATGTCCGTTCAAATATAGTCCGTTAATTTAAGGTCCGTCCAAGTTAAAGTCCGTTTAATTTTTTTCAAAAACTTTTCCACTTCGAAATTTGTGTCCAGAATAAGACAACTATGAGAACTTTATTATGCCGTAAGTTAACAACGGAAAGGTTCTCCCTGGTCTGCTGGAGGCCCTTCTTTTCAAGGGTCAATTGGCGGAGAAAGTCAACGAAATTATGGCACTCAACAACATAGTTCATGAACTAGTCCCCGCCAACATGAAAAACTTGTTCTAGCCTCTAGAAATTACGGTAAATCGTGTGGTCAAATATGCCATTGTCCGACTTTGTTATACTTATAGTTCTTATTATATATATTACTCAGGGGAGGTAATTAAACAGTGCTAGGAAAGCTCCACATGATGTTAAGGTAAACCTAAAGTTGTCTAAGATAAAACCACTTCACGGCGTGAATCACGCCGAAAGGGTTGTACACGTTAACACTGAAATGCAGGACCGGGGTAGTTTGAGTTTGATAAAAAAAAGTTTCCATAAAGATAGAAATCACTGATGCTTTAAGCATGGACTATTTCAATTTCATGCGCGAAAACCCATATCATTTGATATGAAGATGATATGTGATATTAGACACTGATCATGTACACATATTTTAACATGTTTACTGCTTAACGACTGCTTTTCTTTCTTACTGTATAAAAAATGGATTTAAAAATCATTTGCTGAAATAAAAAACGTTTAAAAAATGAATAAATTCGGATTTTTGATGGTTTTGAATGCCTTCTAGCGTTCATATTAATGTCCGTTCATAATTATGTCAGTTCATTTTATGTCCGTCCAAATAAGGTCCGATAAGGTAGTCGCCCTGCACAATTTACTTTGTAACTAACAAATAGCCTTTGTCAGCTCAGTTTTTCGTTGGTTTTACGTTTAGGGTCGAATCCACGAGTTATGTATGGTGCCATGCCAGTAGCTATTTATCAACTTCAAGCTGTACTATATCTCACTAAGTATTTATATTTATACTCATAGTCATAGTGTGGTCGGTACCGCGTCAAATCGGGCTTCCAATGACCGTCTTAATGTCAATGAGTGCCCAGGTAATGTGATGGATGGACATTAGTAATTAGACATAGTGTTTAAAGTGTTTGTGAAAGAGAATGGACTATGATACCTCCGACTTGTGAAGTGAACCCTTGGTTAAACTTAAAGATCACAACAGTGATGCACGCCGCCGCGTTTGGCCAAAATCGGCGGCGGCGAGGCCAAACCTTGCGGCGGCGGCGGCGTTCGGCGGCGTGGCCCCTTGGCACTTGTAGTTGTGACTCAGTCGAACATAAATGCAGTCTCTGTACGGGATGGGCCTCAAAATACCGCTTTGGGTTCCAGTTTCAATTTATGGTTGATTTATTTTAACGTGAATGGATAAGAAAATGCCCAAGCATGCTACGATGCACAATAACATGTAACATTGCATGTGCCACGTTTATAGCTGATGACGTCAGACATATTTATTGATACAGGATTGATAAATCAATTTGATTTTACAAAATTTCAAAATTCTTTCACGCCGCCGCTGATTTATTTTTCGGCGAGACGGCGTGAACAAAATTTCGGCGGTGGCGGCGTTCGGCGGCAGCGTGCACCACTGGATCACAGCCATGGTATATCACGGCACCACGTGAAGCCAATACCATTTTCAAACAGCTACCTAAGAGTAACTCAGTAAGTCAGAAACTCCAGGATATTCAAGCAGAATATTGCAGCCGCCTATTACCTGAGGACCCCAGGCTTTAACCAAATAGAGATTAGGCGGAATGACCGGCTGAGCGCGGCCCAGTAAAGCCGCCTAATAATAATATGATATCATACCACTAAGACAGTTTTTCACATATAATATAGGAGACCCTGTTAAAAGGCTAGTCAGTGGATGCGATCGTCAAATAGGTTGACCACCTACGTACTATAAGGGCGATCAACAGCTTAAATTAATGTTGACCATTGTTAATGATTTGGCCCGGCGCGCGCTACTTCGTAGCTTACTGGGCCGCGCTCAGCCGGTCATTCCGCCTAATCTCTATTCGCCTAATCTCTATTTGTTTAACAACATTAAAGCCTGGGGTCCTCAGGTAACTTCGTAGCTCGTGCCATCGCGATGGGCCACCGCGGGCCATTTCGAGAAGAAAGCGGCGCGCGCTACTTCGAAGAAATTTAGACGAGTAACATCCGTCAAAAATTAATGCAGAAGCGATGACACGGGAAATAAACCAACTAAGCACACCGTTATAGTTATACAATACCCCCCTTTATACCCCTCCCCCATGATCAGCCCACGTCAGCTCAGGAAATTTTTCACATTTTTGTGAGGTATTTCGTTGCTTAATTGGTTCATAATCATAATATCATTTTGCACGAGTCTAAATCGAATAAATTCGTACATACATACCTCGTGAACCTACAAATTCTGACTTATTTGATTTAGTCCAATCAAGAATGCGCAAGTAGCAACTTTTGATTCTAAAGTTCCAGACACTTAGTCAAGATTGCTGGGGCGTTGACCAACTTGGAAGGAATTAGACAGGAGCAAAAGCTGAATAACTTCTGAATAGCTGCGACGGTTACCACGCATATTTGAAAGCATGTTTGAAAGCATTTCTTAAATTTTACCAAAACCCATAATCATGGGTAGAGTGGACCGCTGCCAGTGTCTCTCTTTCTCAATTATTGAAGTAATTGAGTCACCACTCAACCCAGGATCAACCCCAAATACATCCTGAAGGTGCCGTACATAAGTGAAGCCCACACTAGACTAATGAGAACGGAGCTCAATAGAAGTGGAATTGACGCAAGACTGGTGGTGACGACGGACAGACCCGTTAAATCCATGATCAACCCTCCACCCAACGAATCATGTGACAAATACGACTGACTCTTCGGCACGGCTGGCATGCCATGCCGAACCACGCACTATGTAGTATCATGTATATCAATTGATATTTAAATTGATCTGCTGATATGCTATTTCCTGGGATTATTTCTAGGTGATATATTTATCTTTTACATCTATTAAAACACAGGGTTATGTGTATCTCAAAGTTTTAGAATTTGAAATACCTCACATTTTTACTCCTCTGTAAGTGTATACAGTTCATGGAAACATTTAAACTTTAAACTTTTCCCTGGTATAATTCGATGAAGAAGCAAGTCTATATATTTCACTCAGACCTTAAATCATATTTCAGCCCAGCAGAAGGTACCGCCTGTGCCGAAATATGTAAGTTGACGACGGAAAGGTTCTCCTTGGTCTGCCAGAGGCACAAAAAACTCTACTATAGTATATGATGTTTCAAGGGTCACTTGGCGGAAAAAGTCAACGAAATATGGCACTCAACAACATAGTTCATGAGCTAGTCCCCGCCAACATGACAAACTTGTTCCAGCCTCTAGATATTACGGTAAATCGTGTTGCCAAGGAAATTGTCCAACGTTGTTATAGTTCATATTACTCAGGGGAGGTAGTGAAACAGTGCTAGGAAAGCTCCGCGTGATGTTAAGGTTAACCTAAAGTTGTCTAAGATAAAACCACTTCACGCCGAATGGCTTGTAAAAGTTAACACTGAAATGCAGGACCTGGGTAGTTTGATTAAAAAATTTCCATAAAGCTAGAAATCACTGATGCTTTAACTTATTTAAGCATGGACTATTTTATGCACGAAAACCCGTTACATTTGATGACGATGATATGTGATATTAGACACTGATCATGTACACATATTTTAACATTTTTACTGCTTAACGACTGCTTTTCTTACTTACTGTATAAAAAATGGATTTAAAAATCATTTGCTGAAATAAAAAAACGTCAAAAAAAATGAAAAAATTTGGATTTTTGATGGTTTTGAATGCCTTCTAGCGTTCATATTAATGTCCGTTCATAATTATGTCCGTTCATTTAATGTCCATTCAAATAAGGTCCGATAAGGTATTGTAATAGGACATTTAAACCGGAATATAATCTGAAAAGATAGTGCGAAACGGATTTAAAATGACCAAGTTATCAAGCAATTTGTTTATTTCGTTAGCAAAATTGATTGGGTACTCAAGGATTACCCAATTACGACACCGTAATTGGGCTCTGTGCACGATTCCCATAATGCGGATCTAGCCTCAACCCAATCACCTGATCACACGTAATGAACAAACTCGTTATGCAAACTCGTTATGCTTCATATCTCGGTCATGTGAGAAGCTAGAACTCTAATTTTTTCAGGACAGACGTAATTTAAATGGCCAAACACCATTCAATAAAATTTGGCTCGATCCGACTAACAAAACTGTCTAATAAATGCAAAAATGATCCTTCATTAAAAGAAAATGAACACGAATATTTTTCGATTTGACAAATTCCTCGAACCAGTGGTGGTAGTAAGTCATACCAGAAAGAACTATTTCAATTGGGCACTCAGTGATTGATCTATTAAGGCCAACGTATGGGTACTGACTTTTGGACCCCCCCCCCCCTGTATAAATTAATCGTCTTAACAATTGGTCAATGTTCTCATTGTTCCAAATTGTTCCAGATCAACTGCTAACTAACCTTAAATGCCTAACAGTAACACATTTTACATCACATAGGTACGTATTACGTTATTTCCTCATCTTTGCCTTTGTTCATAAGAGGGCCTCAGGCCTTTATGTATCGTCTTTTTGAATGTTTGCAGTTTTCCAGACATTAATTGGGGTGTCTAGTGGTTAACTTTATGTCTAGTGGTATAAGTTTTTATGTCTAATTTTTAGAGAAGTTGGGAAGTTTTTGGCTAACAATGTTACATCACAGACGAGTGGGTTAAGAGATGCTTGTGAAAGTGGATTCCTGGAAACCAATTTTTACACGGTTCATGCTACCCTGATCATTATGGGCCTAACATATTTTGTTCGGTTTTCTGAAGTCCGTACCTAGTAGTAGTACCTACCTCTCGATATACGATTTTGGAAGTTTTCCCTGAAACTCCCCCCCCCCCCCCCCCCCCCCCCCCCCAGAGAATATGCAGATACTGCCTGATGGGAAAAGGAAGTAAAAGAATTTGAAAGCATAAAAGCAGTGGATTACACGTGTTTAAATAGTCAAAGTAGTTCAGCAGTAGGATGGTAGACTAAATTTGTCGTTCTCAAGGTATAAGCATTGAGCAACACTCAATGTTTGAATGTTTCCACATCAAAACGAATGAACCTTGAGGAATGAGGATGCCTCAATTTATATACATTCTTTTATAGCTGTGAAATTCTATTATCTTATTGTATCACATACCTGTATCACATACTTGACACCTGTCCTCCGCTGTACACATGAACCTCGTTAATGCCACACTAATCACAGTGGACCCAATTTTCGTTTGTATTGTTGAAGCACACTCGTTGATGTCGAGCGAAAGTTTCATCATACTTCCAACTCTGGTAAAACATTATTTTCCAATTGTAACACTATTTTTTAATTCTTCAATTTACATTTTACACGTTAGTTAATTGTTCATTAATTCTCTTAACCATGTGGTTCGTTGCGATATTTTTAGCATCCAGCGAAGCTTTAGCAACCCTTGAAACAAACTTAAGTGGTGATTGTTTGAAGATAAACGAACAAACGGAGGACTTCATCACCACTAACCCACAGGACAGCTCAGTTAAATTAGCTGAAGAAGTGGACGTTAAGACATTTGTATTGGATGAACCCTACACGCTAGGTCACATGGCAAATTTGTCTGGTTTAACCAGCTCATTTTCCTTGTTGGAACCTGTTTATAAAGGATCTTGTAAGGAGGACCCTGCACCCAGAATCTCCATTGTTGAGTCAGCGTATCAGCACAACTGTGTACTGGCCGTTAACGCTAATTACTTCAATGAGTCCTCCGGAGTGTGTTTTGGGAATATTATATCCGAAGGAGAGACTGTTAAAAACGATAACCATGACAAAAATCCAACGTTTGGCCTGATGAAGAATGGTTCAGCATTGATGGGCTACATTGCACCTGAACGGCTGAGTGCAATGAACATGAAAATGGCAATTCAAGGAATGGTATGGCTATTGAAAAATGGAGAAAATATTGTGAACAAATCCTTAAGCGAAGAATGCGGTAAATGGCAGTCTGCTGAGATAAAAACACTGTACAAATTTGCCACAGTCACAACAGCTAGGCTCGCCATCGGAACTGATAAACACGGCAATGTACTCATCATCCAAACGGACGGTAAGACTCTGGCTAAAACCAGACAAGGACTTTCTCTGCACGAGTTTGCTGAAGTGTTGATATCGTACGGGATGTACAACGCAATCAACCTGGACGGGGGTGGTAGCACTACCATGTTTTACAACGGAACGGTTATGAATTATCCTGCTGACGTGTGCGGGAAGTTTCGGTGCACGAGAGAGGTTTCCGCCTTTTTCTGTTTACGCAGAACTACAATTGAGATTAGGAAACAGGTGCTAATTGTTTATGTAAACTTTGTGCATATAATTATCATGGTGATTGTAACTATTTTTATTGTTTGTTTGTTTATGTACTGTATTAAATTATTATTAAGTTTATTTGGTAAAAAGTCCCTTAAAGTAAAGGTACCTAAAAGTGCGTAAATTTAGGTCGTTTCGTGTGTCACTGTGTAAAGTGTGTTGTGTTTTTAAAGTGCGTAAAGTGCGCACGAACCAACTACCTTAAGGCCAATAAATTTGGTTCACACATTACCATTATTGTATTTTGAAAATTTTTTGAACAGGTGTTCGTGAACATTGAACAACTTATGACATGATGATCATATGACATGTTTAATTCCTGTTTTATTCCTATTTTATTCCTGTTTTATTCCTGTTTTATTCCTGTTTATGATTGCATAATAACAGTACACAGACTTGCTTGCGATAACGTCGGTGACCGACAACTATAAACCTCTCATTCCGGGCTCCCACAGGTATCACATCACATGGCCCAATCAGTGACGTATCATAATTGTGATGTGATCCATATTATAGCATGTAAAATCCGGATTGGAGCCATCCTAACAGCCGTACAACCAAGAACCTGGGTAGGGTTCACATGACAGTTTAGTAAGTAGCTGTGTATCATGATTTATGAAGTATATTAAGAAGTGTTTGAGATCTCGGCATGTGTTCACATAACGGACGTGAGCCGGGTCCGAAAGGGGCTGGTTCTCGTATCCAAGGATGTGAGCCTTGGACACTGAATCAAGCAGGGTTCCCTTGACACTAGATCAAGCAGGGTTCACATCATCATATTTGTTATCAACATTTCTCCTTGCCTGCTTACTTGTTTCAAGATATATTTGTAGTCTCGTAGTGTAAGTGTAGTTAAATTGTGCTACACTAAAAATTTGTAAATGTTCAAGTAAAAGAAGGCTGTTCTAAATAATAATTCCACTGTAGTTTGCTTGCATCAAGATACCTTACTAGCTTGCATCAAGATATAACTTATAGTTTGGTAGGTAAACTTTTGAGGGCATCAAAAACTGCGCCAGAATTCAGAGAACAATTTCATGTCAAGCATCAAATCAATCCGATCTTCCCTGACTGACTTATTGGTTAAAATAAGCCTGAAAAGGACAATTTAAGCTTTTTGACTTTTAAAATTTATAACACACCAGCCTTTTCATATACGATATCAAGACCAGGAAATGCTCGATTACAAAAATATGTATGCTCGATTACAAAAATATGTATTCTCAAAACAATTTTTTTTTGTGTGGAAACGGTGCGCTAGAAGGTCACTGAACTGCCTATGAGGTCATTTAGGTCAATTAGGTTGGACAGGTTTGGTGTATGCCCCCTAAAGGTGATGTGAACCCTGCTTGATTCAGTGTCAAGGGTTCACATCATCGCAATCAAGTCTGTGTACTGTTATTATGTAGTCATACCATCATGTCATGTGATCATAAGTTGTTCACGAACAGATGATCGCGAACAGGGATCGGGCTATCTGGATTCTGCCCATTTTCCATTCCATTCATTTGATTTTTCCATTATTTAGCTATTTCTTTTTCTTTTTTTTTCTGATTTCGAACATAAAGTCATACTTCAAAATGTAACGTATTTACTTCAATAAGTTAAACTAGATGCAGATACTGCCTGATGGGAAAAGGAAGTAAAAGAATTTGAAAGCATAAAAGCAGTGGATTACACGTGTAATTGTCAAAGTAGTTCAGCAGTAGGATTGGTGATGTAATGTCATTATATTAATTATAAACAATGTAAGCTCAAAAATATTCATGTTATATATGCTTGTTTATTTGTTTAGGGACCGGTTTTTGATATACCGGCCAATGTTTACAAATACAATATCATATGATACATAACAATATATTTTTATTTATTGTAAGTGAAAATGAGAATTAAAAATTATGGTGTAACCTTTATTATTTATAAACTTTAAAAACCAAAAACTTGCGTATTATGGTTTATTAAAAACACAGTAAGAAATAATTTGATTCGATACGACAGATGATCACACGCACTGTTCCTAAGCTACTTGCGTTGGTGATCAACGATTAATGAGCAGAGCAGGGTCGATAGTGCTCTGTTTGAACCGTAGTTAAATAAAAGTAAATGAGCACCTGTTAGCGCTGTCATGGTAGTGAAAGGGAAGTGAAAATGTGTCATATGGTTGATAATGATAGTGACTAGCATGTGCTAATCGTCTAGTTTTACTTATAGTTATTCCTCAGGTAATTCTCGGTAATTGATTTGTTGTGTGCGTAAACCGGGTAATCCGGAAGCTTACCATCCATGTATTAGTTGTAATAGTAATTCACGTAGCCCGACATAACTGCTCGTATTCCCTGCTTCTGTTCAGTGAACAGTGAGTCGATATGGGAATTTGCTGCAAATCCCCAAATTAGTGAACAGAAATTTAAGTGCAGAGATTGATAATATTTTATCTGATTTTGATCAAATTTAGATCAAGTTGTGTTTCCCAGATCCTAATTTTCCAGAAATTTAATAGAACTACTCTGAGTCTGAAGTTAAAGCTACTTATAGGGGGGATTTCATAACATTAACAAAAGCCATGTATAGTGGTGAAATGTTAATGAATGACTTCCAAAAACAAATGATGAAATCGTTAAAAAGTGGTGAAGAATGAAAAATCGAATGGTGAATAATTTTTATTTTGAATGGAGTCTCCAAAATTGTGAACCATTTTTCATCGGAGATGGTGAAAAATTCCACAATTCATGATTCACCATTACAATTATTCCCCATTTTTCACCAATTTATTATTTGCTTCCTAAACTCATAATAAAATGGTATTTTTATCAAGACACTTATTTTACTTCGGTGTATTTCAACATCCACATTGTTACACAAGTACAACCAGCCAATTACAGGAAGCCGAAGGATTTATTTGGCCAGTCACGGTTAGTGTGTACCATACTATAAAATGGTGTCAGTCAGTTTTCATGAACAAAAAGGTTGTAGGTTGTCCTATAATATGAAAATGAAAATTTGTGAAGAGGCGTCATGAGGCTGCCACACCCTACTAGAATGAACTTGAGGTCTGAAAGTTTCTTCACGGACGTCGGACACTGATGTAATTGCATGTACTTGTAGTATAGTATATAGTTTTACAAGTTATACACATTTTACAAGTTTTACAAGTTTTACAAGTTTTACAAGTTTTACAAGTTTTACAAGTTTTACAAGTTTTATTAATTTTACTATAACATTATTACTACATGCATAAAATACCCTAACTTTAAATATTACTCTTAGTTTTTAATGATAGTTATAATTGTTTATGTCATAATGCCATAACCCGGGTTATAATTATATAAATCGTTAAATTCTTCGGCTTAGTGAAAGTGAAAGTGAAAGTCTTCTCAAACTATAAAAGAATAGCGACTGCAAGGGAAGAGACGAGCTGGATGAGAAGGAACGAGATCGTAGGTTTAGTTTCCGAGGACACATAGTTCTCCCTTTCTCCGTCGTCCTGGAATTTCTCCATTCCTTGTGTGTTGCAGTTATCAGTACTGCAGTGATCCAATTTGCAAGATTTAATATCTATGCCAACATCTAAATTCGCTGCCATCACATTTTTCATCGAATTACAATAAGTTTGCGCCATTGCCTCTATGGTCATACCAGCCAGTGCAGGTGGTACCATACATGATCTTGCGACCATTTCAGATGTCACTGTGACACCAAACATACTGGCACCGTAGCTAACGCTGATAGCTCCGCAAACAAGCGTATCATCATCACAAGCGGTCATGTCTGATGAGTCACACTTTGGAGGAGTGTCCATCTCCTGTTCGCCCATGTCATTCTGTTTCATCGCTTCTTCCATCTCAGCGGAGTCGTACTCAACAGCTGCATCTTGGCACTGATAACAACTGAGAGCCTTGGTACAAACCAAAATACAACTTGCAGCTATTATTGCTAGTATTACTTTCATCTTCTAAACTTCTCGCTACCTTAAAGTAAAGTAAAGTAAAGTAAAGTAAAATTTATGACATCACATCATCACACATGTCTACAAACTATCATCGCACTGTGTGAAAAAATATATAATAAATATTTCCCCACCAACATTAATTAATTATCAAATACAATATTTAAAAACAATTTCATCAAAAACATTATCCTATTTTAAAAACTTCCCAGTGGAATAAAGATTTATAAAACGCTTCTTTGCCACATAAGGATGGAACCAAAGATAATTGTTATGTTTCTCTTTATTACTGACATAACTGGCTCCCTCAATTCTTACTAAAACTTCATTAGAAACATTCCAAAAAAAGCAATCATTTGTAATACTTTTAGAAATCATATCTATCTTATATCCTTCTAATTTAATTTTAAAACCTAAAACTGTCACAGAGTTCTTGACGTCCGGAGGGAGTTTGTTCCAATATGGAATAACTCGCTCCGGGAGAAAAGACTTCTGGATATTCTTGACCTTTGTCACACTTTTACTACATCTATTGGATGAAACCAGATTAAGACCTGATCTGCTTGGTCTGAACAAGTCTGAACCATAATCAGTCATAGCATTAATAACCTTAAAAGCTTCAATAAGGTCCCCACGTATTCGCCGCTCTGCCAGCGTTGTCAAATTGAGGATTTCCAGTCTACGGCTGTAAGGAAGAGTACCCACCTCATCAATCAGACGGGTAAACCGCCTCTGGACGCTCTCCAGCTCCAAAACAGTCCCCCAACTTCCATGAGCTGCAGGTGGATTCCACAATTGGACACAATACTCAAGATGAGGTCTTATTAAAGCTTTATATATAGCAATCATAACAACCTTTTCTCTAATAACCAAATTCCTTACAATCCAACAAATCATTCGATTTGCCTTAGCGATACATGCTTTGATCTGTTCGTTCCAAAGCAGGGAGCTATGGGTAATAACCCCCAAATCTTTTTCCTGTGCAGATACTTCAAGTTCTATACCATTTACCTTATAATTTAAATTAGGATTGTTGTTAAAATTAATGTGCACTACTTTGCACTTGGCAGGATTAAATTGTAAAAGCCAAATACTTTCCCAAACTTCTAATTCTTCGATATCTTCAGCAACACTACCGTGGTTAGCTGCATTACCAATTAATTTAAGATCATCAGCAAATAACTTTATCTTATTTTTTACAAGGTCAGGCAAATCATTAATATACAGAATGAATAGGAGAGGGCCTAGAACTGACCCCTGAGGAACACCAGATAAAACATGTTTAACCTCGGACCATTGTCCTTCTACAGAAACCCTCATAGTCCTGTCTGTAAGAAAATCTTTAATAAC